TGAGTCTTCTCTCCTTTCTCACTGTTATTCTAGCTAAAGTTTTGCCAGTTTTGTTTACCTAGTGTCCATTTTATTATTTCTACTCTAATATTTATTGTTTGCTTATTTTTCCTGACTCAAGGCATTATTTGTTTTGTTTGGGCCTTGAACAGTGATCCTCCTGATTGCAACCTCCTTAATAGCTATGATTACAGGCTTGAGCCAGCAGCACCTGGCTTGTTTGGTTTATTCTTTGAGGTAGAACATTAGGCTATTTATTTGAGGCTTTTTCTTCCTTTTGATGCAGGTTTTTAACTGCTATAAATGTCCCTCTTAGAGTTGCTTTTGCTGCATCCCTTAAATTTTGTTGTTGTTTGTCCATTTTTGTTTTATCAGATTAAAAGTTTTTTCTTTTAAATTATTTCTTTGGCCCATTAGTTGTTCAAGAGCATTTTCCTTAATTTTTACATGTTTGTAAATTTTCAAAAATTCCTCCTTGAACAACAAGTTCTTTTACTAAGAACCAGTATGAAGAGAGTGAACAAATTATTTGATATGAAAGAAAAGTGACCATCTTACAAGACTGAAAATTTCATCACCCATAATAGGTTTAAGTGAAAAAAAAGCTTGACTACATCAAGTACTTCAATGCATTTCATGCTTTATCAGGGAAGGTTTCAACTATTGCATTAATAGTTCTAAACTTTTGCTTTGTAATTCTTTATTTGCAGTACTGGGGATTAAACTCAGGGCTTAGTGCTTGTGAAGCAATACTCTTACCACTTGAGCCATGACCCAGTCCTAATGGTTCTAAAGTTTTAAGAAAAATTTATTTATACTTTATTCATTGTATTCTAAAAGTGGAATAATATGTACATAGAAATACTATTTTAAACTCCTTCTAAAACATACCTCTATGCATATTATTATCTTATTATACTATGTATAATTGTTTAGTGTACCATTAAATGTATCTCTATAAGGCAGTAAATAAAAATCTTTCAGTAAAGAGCATGTAGTGTATAATCTCTGTAGCTGTACAATAATCTTAATTGATAAATGCAGTTTAGGTCTGGGGAATATAGAAGTTAATTATGTATTAAGCTGAAGGAGAATTCTACACATGAACATAACTAATTCTATGACATTCTTGAATTATCCCAAAGTGACTATGACCTCAATGTATGCTAACAAAGTTTATTAAAATGCTGCTTCTCCATGTTTTACTCCATCTAAGAATCAGCGAATTATCCAAAGTGACTATGACCTCAATGTATGCTAACAAAGTTTACTAAAATGCTGCCTCTCCATGTTTTACTCCATTTAAGAATCAGCTCTCTCCTTAAACAAATCAAATGGCAGGACTGAGAAAATTGCCAAATTAAAAAATATAAAATGAGATCAGACATCATGGAATATTTTCATGACCGGAAACTAAAATAGAAAGTTCTTAGAATTGTATGAACCTTTGAGCCCTATTATTGTATTCAAATTAAATTACTGTATTTTTTGTGTGCCATTATATTTGGTGTTTGCATACACATCACTGGACACTTAAGCTTCTCTTCAAGTTTAGGCTGATTCTAAGTCCCAATACTTTCCATAATTACCAGATGGAACTTAGTTGTTGCATTACTATTATCATTATTTCAAATTTGTTGCCAAACTGTTGTAATATTTATTCTGCTAATGTAGACGGTGAGGCACAGCATGATTAAATCATTTACTCAAGATATGCTGTGAGTAAACAGAATTGGAAAAAATTAAGAATCCCTTAGTAATAAATGTCTTAAAAAAATCTGCTTATAAAATAAGGAGCTTCTTTCTTCCAAATAGTTATATTTTTCTAGTACTTATCTTGAATGTTAAAATGTGAAAGAAATTTCTAAGAATAATCTGTAATGCTTTACACAAGATAATCCAATGATTGCTGTTTATGCTTAAAATAGTAATTTATTAAAAGTGTCTTAAAGAGGAGTTGAGAATATGTCAACAAAAGTACTTGCACCTGTCAAGATTCATACATCTCAGAATAAAGGGAGAACTAACAAGTGGTCAAATCCCTTGCTGAATCAATGACAGATATATATTTAGTGATACATGCATTTTCCATACACCATGACTGCCTTTGACTCCCAGTTGGATGATAGCTCATATGATGCAGAATAACCCACCAATCCTTCATGCTAAATGGAAAGACAGAAGTTGTGCCATTTTAGAGACATGATACAGCATACTAGAAAATGAGAGATCTTGTCCTTTTTCTTATAGAAAAATAGATGTTGGCAACATTCTCACAAAGAAGCAAGGACAACATGGTGTGGTATTCCTTGAACACAAACTATGTATGGATTACTTGAAAATATATAACAAAAATCTTACAAGCTCCCTAGACTTCAGTCTTCAGATTCCTGTTAGGAAATATTAGAACAGTGTGATTTCTAGACTCAGACTGTTCAGGTTGAAATCCTAGCCTGTCAAGTACTAAGCTTTGTAAAGATGGTCAAGTCAGTTAATTTAGAAAAGTATCAGTGTTTCTCAAGTATTAAATAGGTATAATAATACCAGCTGCTTTATAGACTATGGTGTGAACCAAGTGAAGTAATAAGACATTCTCACTTTTTTTGTTGTCAATATATTAAAATGTGCCTTCCTACAGATTTGCTCCATAGCCGAGTAAGTTCTATAAATATATGCCACAGTTTGCTGACAAAGTTTCCAGAGTTTGAGGACAAATAAGAAATATGATGCCCTTTCTTGTCTGAGAAATGCTATCATAAAAACCTGATAATAAAACCCACTTAACTCTTTACATCATTAAGTAATTGACTAAGTTAAAACCTTGAATCAAATAGAAATGAAGACTTATTTCATATTATAGATTATGTATTTTCCCCCTCTTTTAAATACATAGTAGGTTGACTTGTTGGAAGTAGGAGAAGTGAAAAATAAATGAGGGTATAGGTGAGCACCACCCTGTAATGTAAGACCATTTGAACATATAGCCTCTGTACCAGTTCCACTTGGTGAATTCCAGATTTGGAGTTGGCCAGACTTGCCTATGAACAGAATTTTGACACTTTTTCCAATAACCAAACTCTGGGAGAGATATGGAATAATCATTAATCTTAAGGCTATTTTACATGGGGGAAAAGGAAAACAGAAAAACAAATCCAATGTTTCTTAGACACTGTGGGGGAATTGGTGAGCGGGGATGTAAAGTAAATTTAGGAAACTGCCTTCACTGGAAAAAGAGGTTTCAGGTGGACAGTTTGACTTAATAAGTTAATGATTGGCAAGTTAGATAGAAACGATTTATTAAAAACTTGTGATTTTACCATCCAGCTGTAAATTACATGGAAAAATGCTTCTCTGTTTGATAACAGATAAGTAGTACTGTGGTAGAGTTCAAAGGGTAGTTTAAATGATTTCTACAGATTATATTAATAATTGACTCCCTTGCTCCATATGCAATCTAAAAGAATAAGTGAAGAGTAAACCAGAGCAATAAACCATCACTATTTATTGATTCCCTATTTCAGAAGATGACCTGAGTCAATGGATAACAGAGTCATTCTTGATTGGGAAGGCAGACTTTTAATGATTGCATGAAGGGAGAAAACTGTTATGATCAATGAGGGACAAAGCTATCTTTATCCAGAGGAAGATAAAGTCCATTTTGAGGTCAGGATCCCCACGGAATTCATGCATATGATTGACTGACCTAAAGCATGATTTATTAGTATAGTAGTTTGTCTTGCCATTCCTAGATGGTACTCTGAAATTTCTTAGGAAATATCATTAACTCAGCACTGACATTCAGCTGCTGTACACTAATATGGGTAGAAATAAATCCACACCTGTTGACAATTTTGCTGTAGCACTGAGTTCTTGCTGCAAATCAAATACTTAGGTACTCAGGAGCCCCAGACCTGAGGAGGGAGTCAACTGTGAGACCTACCAGCTGGACCACTCCATAACCACTTATTTGTGGCTCTTGAATGTGTGCAGTTCTCACCAAAATTGAACTAGACCCTAGAGAGAACCCTGTGCCTGGTGTCAGGTTAGCCCACTGGCTGGCCCTTCTCCACATTATGTCAACCTATGAAAATCATGACCTGTACAGTGTATAGTACCTGCCATTAATATCATGACTGTCTCCCCTGCACCAGCCCCCAAATCTTTTCCTATTCTATCTACACACTAGTCCAGAGAGGAGTGGCAGAATGTCTTTGCTATGTTGATGCCAGAGAATGAAAGAGAAACAGGCTAAATTAACTAGGTCATCAAAGTTCAACTTTTCCAGTCTCAGCCCTTGGCCAATTAAACTAACCTTTATATTTGAAAAAACAACAAAATAGGGGACATGGTTTCAAACTCTGTTCTTAGTCCAAATAAGTTGGGGTGACAGTGACTCAATTAATTAATAACTTCAGCCTGATCTGAATATTGTGAACAGAGAGAAGAGATTAAGAATGGAAAGCATCCAGGCCTACACAACACAAACCCCAACAACTTCCAACATAACTTTTGTATAACTACTAGGCTTATTACCTGGGTTAGTGACCCAAATTTAATGTGGGAATCAATGGTCATACCTTGCTCAACTCTCTAATGAGAAATAATTTACTCAAGATTAAGTTCACATACCATCAGTAGAGTGGGACCACTGTGTTATTTTAAAGTTTAAAAATGATGCTATTTTTTTTCATTTAACATTTTGTTAAAAAAAAAACATTTTGTTGTTAAATGTTACATTTTCACTATTAATTTCAACTAGCTCACACAGATTCAGTTCCTGACTCATTTCTAAGCCATTCACCTAGATCCATCATAGTTCTGCTTCAGAAATAAGTGCCAAATATTTTTAAATGACTATACACCAAATGAACAGGACTCTTTGTACATTGTATCAAGAAATAATGGAGAGTGATAAGAAAGTGGGCCCTTTTACCTAAAAACTAGTAACTAAACAAAATAACAAGTGCAAGATACAATGGAAAATGTAAGAGGCACACTACCTGTTGTAAATCCAGTGTAATTGTCACATAATGGTATTCAATTCCATTCTTAATACTGGGACTCTGCCACCAAGTGTTCTTTCCATCAATAGCATTTGTAATTGGGTGTCTCTCTAGGAGCAGCAGCAAGTGAAAAGAGGAGAAAAAATCATACAATGAATTTATAGTTCTTAATGAAAAGTAAAACTATGTTAAAACAACCTATGCCTGGGCATCGAATATTAAAAACATATCAATTCATATCTTCAACACAGATCTATTTAACGATGACTTTGTCATAGCATTGTACAATGTGGTAGCATTGCTAAATACTTAGACTGCAGAAGAACTACTTAGCACTCCAGCCCTCAACTAAAATGGGCAACTTTAAAGATAACTACAGAAAGTTAAGTGTGAATAAATAATACTGAATTCCAACTGATGTGTCAATCATTCAGAAAAAAGCAAAAACTTTACTGTTTGAGGCAGCTAAGTATACCATCAAGTTTGCTAACAGAAACATAAAACCCTCAATTGTGGTTGAAAGGTACTTGAAGATTCACTCTTTCGACACATTCTTTATTACCAAGACTTAGAGACAATCTAATATGTATCTGACTTTACTATAAGATACTGTCACATTCATCCACTGAGACTTTTTGCATCAACCTTTACCTTGCTATTTTTCTACCACTATTTAAAAATATAATGAAAGACACCTGGAGACTCCTGTGTAGCATTTGCCCCATATCACTAGCTGAATAATAATGGCAAGCAAGGAGACAATGATGTATAAAACTCCAACCTCCAACTCCAACCACCAAAACATAGGTCTTCCCACACCTTTAATCAAGACAGATGAGAAGAGAATCCATTGTGAGAATCAAAAAACAAACTGGAAGTATTAGAAAATAAGGTGTAGGTCATTATTGCTACCACTACAATCCTTCATTACAGCTCCTCCACCTTAAAAGCCTCAGAGCTCAGAGAGCCTCAGCTTTTACAATTTAGTGGCACATAATTTCACAGCAGCAGCCCTTATGCCTGTGCCCCAAATCCCTGTTACATTTTGGATCCCTGTCTTTGGTTCATGTGTAAAATCTTTGCCTCTCATCCTACAAGTAACACCAGTTGTTTCTCTTCTCCTCATCTAAAGAAGCCCAGTCCACACACTTGAATGATGATGGCAGGAGGGGAAGATTGTTGATTTTCCTATTCCTATTCCAAGGGCTGCAGTTAGGGTGTGTAAGCTCCTAACATTTCACTTGGAAGTCAACACATTTGCCCAAACAAATGTAGACAAAGTGGAGGTGAGCTTCCCTGGTACTCCTCTGTTCCTTATGGTTTAATATGCTTTCAAGTATCCATCTTGAGTCTGTTCTCTTAGAAAATGTTTCAAATGAATGGTCATGGAATAACCATTCAGATTAGAACTCAATCCTTTTTTACACTTGATCTTAGCCAAAAGACCAAGACATGACCTCAATCTTTCTTTAAGTTGAAGTAATACCTCAAATAATGAACAAATCACATCACTCTGAGGAACAATTGTAGATTCTCAATTTGTCTGCATAATGTAGTAATCCAGTCATATATGGCAAATATATATTCTAATGATGGTGGTTATGATAGAGCAATATAAAGAACTGGCACGTGAGAAGCTAGCTATTTCTCCTGGCTCCACCATTTAGTACTTAACTGACCATGGACAAATCATTTTAACTGTGTGTCATCTCTGAAATAAGGATAACAAAACTCTACTTACAGCTGTGGTCTTCAGATTTTTAACTTTCAGAAAAAAAAATTCAAAAACATGCATTTGAAAAAATTGTGGAATTGATACAGGAGTTACATATTTTTATTTTCCCAAGCAATAGTAACCTCTATCTAGTATTATCTACTGATTATCTACTGTACCATCATTCTTATTTCATAAAATAAGAAACATTTAGAAGCCAACAATAGCTTTGAAAAACAATAATATCAAAATAAAGGACAATTCTTTACATTATATACTGTTTTAATTTCATGAAAAATGTGATATGCTGTTCTTATTTATTTTTCTTACCACTAAATAGTGAAAACATCTTAGATGGCAAACTTTTATTCACAGGGTTACCAATGAACACTACAAATTTAAAACTCTAACTGGTATTGTACTATATATAAAATAAATTATCTGTTCAAAATGTCCACTGTTCTGAACCTTATTTAGGGATAATTAAACTAAATTAAAAACACTGAATATAATTTTAAAAACAAGCAAAACTAAGTCCTCTACATAATGAGTCTAATAATAAAGAACCACCTTTAAAAGGGAAAAATTATTAAAAAGTATTTATTAAATTTGCAATTTTCATACTTGCAAAAATTTTTATTATATAATTAATTTTATTTAGCCAGTATGCTATAATCTTTAACTGAAAACATAAAAGCTATGTCTTTGAGTCACTTATGTAATTATATTCACATTTTAAATATGGATAGTCGTATTGCACATCTTATTATGAGTGTATAGGACAGAATAACAAGATTCCATTGTCACTGGTAAAATTTTAATTCAACAAAGTGGCTGGATGAGCTTTATTTTGTACTAAGTCCTATCACATTAACAGTACATAGAGATGAAGCATTATATCTAATTAGTGAAAAGTGAAATTTCTGAGTACATTTAATAATTAGTGCTGGTTTAATTTTATTGAAACTAGGAAATGTATTGTCTTTATAATGACAGCAAATATCAGAAGCATAGCTAAAAATCAAACAAATGCCCATGGTGGACTGAATAGGTGCCCAAATCAGCACATTAGGAATCAGAACAATAAATGAAATATTGCTGGCCTTACTGCTGAAGAAAAGCAAATGTCACAACAAACATTCCCTGAATGTCTTGCTGAATCTTCTTTATAAATTGTGGGTTTACTATGTGGTAGAAAAGCACACACCACATTTCCAAATAGAATTGTGAGAGAAGATATCTAACTGGAAATTTTGATATCTGCCACCTCAGTTCAAATTGATATGAGAATTATTAATGAAAAGGAGGACAGGAAGATGAATCAACAATTAACCATAATCCTCATTATAAAAATTTAATCATAATTAATCTGTAAATACTGATTAATTGTTGGCAGACTTCCCTTACTTAAAAGGAAATAGAAACCTATAATATCTTCAACAGGAACAAACTAATCCAGTCACCACAAGGACTAGCTACATCTGAAAACGGACCAGGAAATTGCTAGGGTGAACCTTTCAAACTGCTGGTCTTTAATTATGAAAGACAATCTATTATCAGTCAGGAAGCTAAAGTTTCATTTTCCTTGTGTGGCAATTAAGAGCTGGTCTTCCAAATTTTTTTCTAGAAATACACTGAATTTGTGGATTGTATCTATTGCTCCAACTTTTACTAAAACATGTTCATGTGATTTCTTGCAAGATTTTTATGCTTGTTGGATTTTATTCTTTCCAAATTTTCAGTATCAGAATTTGCTTTTGAAATGTAATGAATCTGGCCATTTAAAAATAAAGAAAATGGCACAACATAAATCCAGGCTGTGACAAGTTTAAAAGGCACTAGAAGTAAGCAAAAGTGGGGAAATATATACCCCACCTCATATGCATCTTGCTTTACTGAAACCATTCTTTTGGCCTCAATGTGAAAACACAGGGTGGGAATGCCTAAATGTAGTGCCTTCCACTGACACACAAAATGCAAAACTTTTAAGAAAATAGGTGACAGAAAAGTCTTTGATTCAATTTGGCAAGTGCATCTTACACATTTTTTGCAACCAAGAGTCTCTACTCAATTATTTTTTTACCACAATCTTTGCATCTTTTATCCTGTGTCTATGATAATGTACACTATCTTCTTTCTCTAATTTTCTGTATAATATGTATGTGCTTTCATATTTAAATATGTCTTATATACATTTAACATTATACTTTATAATGTAGTAAACATAAATACATTTAGTATGTATTTCATATCTATTTAATACATTATAAATATATGTATATATAGTTACATGATTTTAATGTATTTTCTCTTTTTCATTTGTCCTATCTCTGCCCACTCCATCCCAAACACACTGCAACACAATTCTACCACTTTCCACCCACCATTCCCCTGCCACTGTATCCATATTTCCAGGCTTTCTCACATTCTCTATGAAATCACTAAGGGTTCCAGTTTCTGAACTCATGGTAGCTTCTCTGCATCAGGATTTATCTTCTTCCCTAACAAATCTAAAAGTCATAATCCATCAGTTCATTTAGTTTCTGGACTTTGCTTCAATTTTCTTGCTGTGCATTCTTCCCTTCCACTTAATCTGCAATGCTCCAAGAGGAATAGTATAAGTGTTTACTCCTTTTATTTTACTCCATTTGGAGTTTTCACCCTATTCTCATTGTGGTTCGGTGTTCTCCTATTCCACTAAGAAATTAATCTAATTTTTTTGCTTCTTTAATGAGCAGATAATCCAGACTCACTCCTAATAAGGAAATCAAAATCATCAATTAAAAGTTTCCTCTCAAGATGCTGGAGATACACCTGGCAAAAAAAAACACCAACAAGAGGCAAAACTCCAACACCTCCACACCCCCCAGCCCGCATACAGCATCCCCACTCTACGTTAAATGGAGAAACCAGGAGGGCTCCTGCGCCACCAGACGCCAGCTCCTACCCTGCTTGGGAGACCATCAGGTGAGCAAATAAGCAGAATGAAGTACTCCCTGGGACAAATTAGCATAGCCCCCTGGACAGACTGACCCTCGCCCAGGGAAAAAAGAAAAAATAACTGAATAATAAACAAACAGCTGGAAAAAAAGAAAAGACACGCAACAAAGAGGGTGGGGCTCCCTGAGTTCTGGAGAGACAGGAAGGAGCACTCCCTCATGCGAACTGTAACTAAACAAGCCAGCCAGAGAAGGCAAGAGTGGTGACCCCTGCCCAGCAACCTTGGAGCGGGGAAAGCTTGTAACAGTGGGTGTCGTGAGAAAGCTCCGCAGGAGGGGAGAGGGGCACTTCTCCATGAGAACTGTAAATAAAAAAAGACTGCAATTGCAACAGGCGGGTAGGGCTGTATACTGGAGAAAACAAAAGGGGCATGTGTCCAGGAGGACTCTAAATAAA